GTAGAGGGCCTGGTACACGCTGGGCAGCTTGGTGATGAGCACGTACCTGTTGAAAGCCACCAGCAGGTGCGAGGCCAGGGAGACGGTGAGGCCGAGGCCCAGGAGCCCCCCTCGGAGTAGCCGGTACTCCGCCGAGCGAAGGGAGGAGGAATTGGGGGGCAGCAGCCCCAGCACAGCCTCCTGGGGCATCCACAGGGCGCACACGCTCAGATCTGCCGCGCAGCCGTTCACGATGAAGGCATTGCTGGTTGTCTGCAGCTTCTTGAAGGAGAAGACTAAATAGATGACCATCACATTGGATAAAGTCCCTGAGATAGCTAAGACTGCGTAGAGCAGCGACAGAAAGATGCGGGTCCCGGAGGAGTCCTCCCAGAGCAGCAGCAGAGGCGAGCTAGCACTCCAGGAAGAGGCGTTGGGCATCTCGCTGAATGCAGCTCAGTTTTGACTTCGCCCTGTAAATCCCATCCTTGTCTGGGTCAGAAGTTCTGCTGCAGGAGTCACCGAGCACACGGGAGACTGTGCAGCTGAAGGACTCTAAGGCAGGTTTCAGTCATACAAGCTGTAAGGTCCAGAAAATGCTGTTTCCAATAAGGATCCAAAAACCAGCAGTGTCCAAGGCAGGTAGGCAGCAAGAGTGTCCACAGATTGTAGCTGGTGAAGGTGGGTCCATAGGGAGGCAAATGGCTGTTGGCAGACCAGAGCACGACTGAGGTTTCCGTAGCTGTGAAAACAGCAAAAGCAGCAGCACCTTGCAATCGGCAGCAGAAACGGCAGCAACTGATACAAAGCTTTGCAGTTTCTCCTGTGCCACAGTACGTACACTGTATATCATTCCAGGAAGATTCAGCCCTTCCACTCTTCATGAATTATTCAGCAGATTTTCAACTTGTTAAATCAAGAAGAAAAAAAAAAAAAAAAGCCAAACCCTATCATGCTCCAGAAATACTCCAACTACACAGTCTGACTCTTTTCTCTCTGCCTTACCAGTCTTCTGGGTCTAACCCATTTACACAACTTTCATTTGAAGCAAGGTTTTAAACCAGTATCAGTCACTCCTGTCTGAAATACAGTCCATAAACTGTAGAATTTTTCTGCTTGATACTCACTTTTTAACAGATTTTTTTCTGATCTTTTTTTGGTTAAGAGTAAGCTCAGTATGCTTCTGCAATTTTAGTTAATTTTAGAACTGGTCTATAATAACAATATGCTTTCCAAATGAAATCTTTCTAACACAATAAATAGACCAATCCTTGTAAGACAGTACTTATTTGAGGAAGCTGGTTCTCAATCTATCTGAACATTTTACATCTCTTCCTAAACCTCAGCCTCTCAACCCACAGGAAAGCCTGCATTGCCACCCTGCCAGAGGTGAACACTGGTGTTGGTGAGCACACAGATAACACAGGATCTGTGTAATATGTGAAATGGGCTCACTCGAAAATTAGTTCCTGGAGAGGTGAATAACAGCTCCTTAATAACAGGTGGACTAAAAACTGATTGAAGAGTAGGCATTAACAGTCCATTCCCAGATGGAGAATAATGCATGGGATTCTCCCAGGAACTCTACCCTGCTTCACTCAAACAGGGACAGAATAGTAACTGTCCTTAACCTGGACAAGACTTAATAAGAAACTCAGTAAGAGAACTCAGATTTGCTTTTAAAAGCTTTCCAGATACGGAATGCTGGTTAATTTTGTGATGAGCTTAAGAAAAAAACTGCTTTTGCAGGTAGGTTAGGTATAGGCTACAGTAGCAAGCAATCACAGCTGGTAAGGTACTATCTGTACCAGAGACCTTCATAAGGCATTTTTAGACATTGTTTAACTCCTGAAGCTAATAGCAATACCAAAAGAATGTATTAGGAGGTAATTATAGTTGCAATGTACATTTTTTCAAGTTAAAAAAGTTAAATTGTGTGGGTTAATGGATGTTGCAATACAGCATATCTTTTATTTGATAAAAAAGGCTCATGTTAACAATTGACAGAAATATTGATCTAAAGGTGGATTCGTTACAAACATGAATATCTATGTTCACTTTTAATTAATTAGATGGCTCATGTGCTTAAGGTTAAAGACATGCCTCAGTGATTTACTTGATCAGGCCCTTAATTACCATATTTTTTGCCTGCTGCACTTTACAGTGTAGATCTAATCAAGTGTCAAACCTTTTGAGGCCTTTCATTGTTTAGTTGTCAGTAAAGAACAGTTATTATAGAAACTAAAATCCTCCTCTTTCTGCAGTACTGTAATTGAAAAATAGTCTCTGAATTTGTAACAAGAAATACCTCCCTAACTGAAAAGCTTCATAAAGCATACTTTAAAAAGAGATTATGATTAACTGTTTCATAAGATGTTAGCCACAGAATATTATGCCCTGTAGAGACCTTTAGATTTATTTGATCCATTCATTCAGGTTTTGAGAGATCTTGTGCACTACAACTTGTTCTCCCAGAACCAGATATATTCATATTTGAAGGAACAGAAATGGTAAAGTTCAAGGACAAGTGAACATAGGATATAAAATAAATTTCAGGCTATTTCTTAAAAGCTACAAGGTTCTAAAAGGCCTTCCTGACCTTTTATTGTTTCAAATTTTTTTGTTGTTGTTAAGAAGTTGATTGTTGCAGAATACTGATTTATTTATGAATAAAAAAAAGTTGTACATAAGCTGGTGTTTATGTATTTCATCTAATAAATCAATTAAAATCTAGAAAAAGACCAAAGGAGGGGTTGATTCCTATGTACTAGAAACCTTTTAATTAGCTGTTCTTCCTGTATATTATTTACTTTGCACAACCAAATCACCATCCATTATTCATCCATATGCAGTTGCAGAAGCCTTTTGTTGTTTTTTTTAGATCAGACTGTCACCAGAATTTGGGCAACTTGGAAAGCATCCACTTCATTCTGAGCTTTCCCATTCCTTTAGAGTGGCTGTGTAAGTTACACACTGTCCACAGCTACTGCAAGAGAGGCTGACAGGCTAATTAATAATAAATCATGCAATGCAACAAATTTGCTGAAAATCAGCAACAGAGTTAAACAAATGTTAGAACCATTTGTGATTAGTTTTAAATTGAAGGAAGGCCAAAAAGCTAAAGAAAGCTAAATTGTTTAGATTCTTATGGACAAAGAACCTCCTGTTGGTGAGACTAAGAGACCTGTTGCATATGCAAAAAAGTCAAGGCATATTACACCTGTAACAAGGGGCCTCAGCCAGAAAGGACTCCTCAGTTCAGACACAGCCTTGAAATCAGTATATTTTGAAATATAATGCCATCATCATAATATCAACATGTTGATCAAATACCTGGCATTATACAAAGCATAAACATAACCAAGAAAGTTTAGAGAGATTGTTAAAAGAGGTATCTGTCTTGCTAATGGCCTTTTGCAATGTTATCCTACTTTTAAGTACATTACATGGCTTACAGGAAAGAAGGTGACTTTGAAAAGTTATCTTCAATTAGAGATCAAATCATCAAAAGATTTAGGAAAAAACCAAGAAACAAGGAAGCTGGCTTATGCAGGCATTTTATTATCAATTAGCTGTATATATATATATTATATATCTACATTTCAAAATTAATCAGTATTTTATTAAGGAAAACTATTTATAACAAAGTAAATGAGAAAATTCTTTATGAGAGGTAGAATTACCTGATTAATCTAGAATTCATATACAATATATTGTATATATATACACACACATGCTACTTTGTGTGTATATGTTACATATACACAGTTGCAAAAATGTACAGTATTGCATGTTAAATTTATTCAGTGATTTTGATTTTTACAGCTGCTCTTGGTATTGCTTTTGAACAATTTCAGTACAACTTTCCACAGCAATTTGTGATCTCATCTGTTAAAAACTGATGTAGCACTTAACTTCATTTGTAAAGCAAACGCAGGGTATTCACATGTCTTCAGGAACAAAGAATGACAACTCAACTAAGTTTTATTTTTAAGTTTCTACTGCTATTGGAAAAACAAACAGGTAACAAATCTGTTTTGCTTTTGTCTTGTACATGAGGGGAAAATAAAATCCTCACAGTTGCTTAAAT